TCAACCTGAGATTTCTATTTCTCTGACTTTTCAATAAGCAGACAAACAGCAGTCTAGTGTTCCTCAGTTAATTGTTCAAGAAGCTTTCGAGGAGTATCCTTTTTTTTCACATAGACACTCATGATATCATCTATGGGATAGGCATGCTGCTGGCCTATTGTAAGGTAGGGGCCACACACCAGCTGATAGTCTAACAGGCTGGAAACCTTGAGTAGGTGGCTCAAGTGTTCAGGCAGGTGATGACATCTAGGTGTTGTTCTTGCTCAATACAGCTCTCAGGACAAAATTGAAAGGTAAAGATTCAGTATCACAGGGAGGGACTTCAACCATACTTCTGCAATTAGTATTCTTTAGTGGAATTTTTATAGGTCTCCATATGGAAAAATTATATTTTCCAGACAATTTCTATAAAACATATGGGAGCATTGTAATACTTGAAGATCTTCAAACATACCATAAAATGGATCATGTTAGTTCTTCCTCAAAATTATGCATTTCCTCCATTGTATAATTCCAATGTAGAAAGCTCTTCTTCACCCAGGCTGGAGCCTTCATGTGCTCGTGTGTCCTTTCCCCTTTCAGCACTTCATATTGGCAACTGGCCGCCCTTCTTTCCTGTACAGGCAGAGGGACACTGGCTGGCTCTGATTCTCTAGTTCTCCTGACTATTATTAATAACTATTATTAATAATCTAGAAAATTACAAAGTGATTAAATTCATTATTAACAGTCCCAGGCTTGCTGAATCTTTTGATGTACTTTGCCAGCTTATTCAAAAGTCACAGTAGTTTAAAGGTTAAAAATCAGAAATACTTTTCCCCTTCTTGTATCTAATAAAACAAAATCTTTTTACAAAGATTAATGTAATGATCACAATGTTATAACTTTATATAAAGAAAACTGAAATTGAGTAGCCATGTAGCTGAGACTACTGCAGCTACTGAGGCAGAGGTATTAGGCTACAACCCCTATACTGGGCATAGCAATGACAGATGAGCTCAAACATACTAACTAGATTTAAAAAAAAGGAACTGAAACATAAATCCTTCCCAAAAGCAGAGATAAAACTTATGCTTTCTTTTTCAAAATTTATTTATTTGATTCTAAACTTAAGAAATAAAGCAAGCATTTCCATAACAAACTAGAATAGAAAAAAAGCTGGTTTTACAGGAAACTGCAAATCTATTATGTATAACTTGCTATTCCTTTTAAATATATAATAAAGTTATCAAGTAAGGACAATGATGACTACAATTAAGGCACAAATTTGTATGTATGTGTATTGTGTGTATATGTATGTATATGCACACATATATGCATGTACATATATAAACATATATTCATCCAAATATATATGTAAAACAAATCCTACACATACTTTGTTTATCAGTTCTTTCTCTGAATACAGATAGCATCTTCCTTCATATGTCCTTTGTAGTTAATTTGAGTATTTATAATAATTAAAATAATTTAGTTACAGTTGTTCTTAAAACAATATTATTGTTACTGTATAACATGTTCTCTTGGTTCTGCTCATTTCACTCTTCATTATTTTGTGCAAGTCTATCCATGTTTTTTTTTCTAAAATCAACAAGCTCATCATTTCTTATAGCAGAGTAATATTCCATCACAATCATATACCACAACTTATTCAGCCATTCCCCACTTCATGAGCATCGCTGCAATTTCCTGTTTTTTGCCATAACAAAGACAGCCTCTATAAATATCTTAGAACATATAGTTCTTTTCCTTTTTACCTAATCATCTTTGGAAACAGATCTAGTAGTTAGTGGTATTGCTGGGTAAAATGGCAAAGGCAGCTTAATAACTCTTTGGGCATAATTCCAGATTATTCTCCAAATGGTTAGATTGGTTTCTAGTTCCTCTAACAGTGCATTAGTGTCCCATTTTTTTTCACTTCCCCTCAAACATTTGTAGCTTTCCCTTTCAATCATTTTAGCCAATCTGATATTATCTTTCTGATATTATACATTCTTTATAATCCTTCTTCTGTGTGATGCATGCAGACCTTATCACATTCAAGTTTCATTAAGCTGTGAATCAAGCAATAGACCTGGAGTCAGAAAGACCTGATTTCAAATCCTGCCTCAGACATTTACTAGCTTTGTGACCCTGGCAAATCACTTAAACTCTACTTTCCTCAGTTTCTCTATCTGTAAAATGGGGATACTAATAGTACCTACCTTCAGGTTTGTTGTGAGGATAAAATGAGATAATATCAGTCAAGAATTTGTAAACCCTTAAAAAGTTTTATAATTCATAAATATTATTTTTGCTACTTCCTTTCCATATTGTTCCAAAAGACCCCCTCTTATAGAATACTCCTTACCACCATGACACAGGAATAATCTCCCTTACTAATCAAGTCCATAAAGACTCACATTAACTAATTCACATTAAGGCTTAAGGTTACTAAAATAATGTTTTAGGATCAGACCTCACACTTCCCTGGCCCAACATCTCCTTTCTTTCTTTTTTTTTTAAATTTTGTTTATTCTGAAATTAATAAACATAAAATAAAATTACTATTTTCATCTACAAAGTAAAAGAGAAAAAAGAGGAATATACATAAAATTATAAATTTTATTATATATAAAACTTGTTTTTCTTTTTAAGCATACAATAAATTCAAATATAACTTTATTTTTCCTTCAATTAACAAACATTTCAGATCTCTACCTCCAATCCACCCCCACTGAAGAAGAAAAAAACAAAAACAAAACATATATAATAAATATGCATAGTCAAACAAAATAAACTTCCCCATAGGACCTGCCTTGAAATGTAATTTTTACTCGGGTATATGTTATTAATTATTTTTGTTAATTTTTATTTTATTTTCAGTAACAAATCCTCTCTCTCCTCCATACATTGAGATGGTATGAAATATGACATCCATTATACATATGAAATCATGCAAAACATACTTCCTCATTTGCCATGTTCTAAACAAAAAAAAACAGGAAAAATAAAAGGCAAAAATATGTTTCAATCTGCATTTTGATTCTATTAGTTCTCTAACTAGAGGATGATAGTATTTTTCAATGAGTCCTTTGGCACTCTGATGGATTAGCACCCATTCCATTGTGCCATTTTATCTCTATTTAAAAGCAAGTTCAAAGAACTGGAGCTGTTTAATCTGGAAGAGTATGTCATTCATTTATCTAGAGGGATAGTACATTATAGTTGTCTTCAAGTATTCAAAGGGCTGTCATATGGTAGAGGGATTACATGATTTTTGCTTGGCATTAGACAATAGGACTAGGAAGAATGGGTGGAATAAGATGAAAAGAGGAAATTTTAAGTTTGATGTTAGGAAAACTGCCCCAAGACACAGTACATTCCCACTGATTAAAGGACAAGCAAAGGCTGGATAGCCATTGGGAGCATGGGGTTTTTATGTTTTAGAAGAAATTCTTATTCAATCATGGGTTGGACTAGATGACCCCTGAGGTCTCTTCCAACTCTGAACTTCTGGGATCATGTAATTTCAAATCAATCTTCAATGCAATAAAACTAATATTATGACAGAAGACAAATCTATGCATGACATTCAATTTGATGCCATCTGAAACGAACTCTGCCTATGTCATTTTGCCAAACATAAAAATTATAGAGGAATAAGAAAGCTTGTTTTACTAGCTGCATCAATTAGTTATAGAAAGGATTTATGTTTTCTATGTCAGTGATGCTAATTACTTGGAAAATCAAGGCAAAAATGAAACCATCCCTGTCCCCAAGGAGCTTACATTCTACTAGGGGAGCCAAAATGTGAATATATAAGTGAATACAAAATATATACAATTTGGGAAATGGGATTGGGTGGGGAGGGAGCCACACAGGAATGATTATTGCAGAATAGAGTTGGGCAACATATTAATCATTACTGGAAAAGTGTGTGCCTAATAACATATGTAACATCTGTGGTTGGTTAGCAAAAAAAAAAAAAACACAAAACAAAAACAAACAAAAAATAAAAAAAATTTAAAAAATTTAAAAAACCAAGCCCCCCCAAAAAAAAGAAAACAAATTAAAAAAAAAGTCATTGGTCTTCTAAGTAAACCTTTACAAGAAGATCATTGTTAGTTCTTTTCATATCCAAAACCAGTTCCTTCCATATATCACTGGAAAAAATTGAGTCTTTCCTTCATAGTTTAAAATGAAAAAGGTATTTTTAATATTCTGAAGTATGCACATTATAGACTGCTACAAAGATTTCAAGTGATTACCTTGAATAATTCATCCAGTGCCCCAAAGACTTTGTAGAAACAATAACCTTTTGTCTAATTTCTGCCATTCAGGGTAACTTATGAGTTGGTTTATTCTCTTTCTTATAAATACAGAAAAAAAGTGATTAATGTTTTGTAACATACTACATATATTAAAGGGATAGGGCCTGATCTGCAATTTCACTGATATAGGGAACTCCCAGAAAAGGGAATTCCTTTTACCCATGCAGGTTGGCATCTTCTCTGCAATTTATAGTCTTAGCTGCCTAGAGAATGGAAGGAATTAAGTGACTTGTCCAGGGTAACACATTGTGTGTCATAAGGCAGTTCTTCCTTGTCTCAAGCCTAGCTTTCAATTAACCATGGACATGACTGTCTACTGATTATAAAAAGAGTTAATGGCTTAAGATTCAATAATTTTTTTTTCCTTGAAAGAATGAGAGAGCAAAAGGAGTAGGAATACCTACTCTCATACTTTTTAATGTTTTCTGATTCAATATGGTGGACAACCATGCCCTGAAAGTTGTGACTGAAATAGAAGAATACACTAGTAAATATACTTAAATTTGGGAGTTTGGAGTTTATTTAAGAGTGCTAACACTTCTTATTCTGTGCCTTTTTCATACTACTTTTTATTATGTTCTTGCATTATTAATACACAATGAATATATTAATAATGTTAATAACATAATAAACAACAGTAATAACTAATCCTTAATAATTATATTCTTATATTATTTTCTTTTCTAGGTCCTTGAGGTGAGGCACTATCTTATTTCAACTCTGTATCCCTGGTGCCTTGCAAATAGTAGGTGCTTGATTCTTTCTTTTATTTGGATGGATGGAGTCAATGTAGGTGCTACTGTAAGAAAATAATAATAATAATGCTCAATGTTTTTCTTATTCTTTATATTTCTCAAAGAACAAAAATATATAATCATGTATCACTCACAGCAATTGCTGTGAGGTAAGTAATATTACTATGTCCATTTCACAGATGAGCAAACTGAAAATGAGAGAGCATAATTATTCATTCAATATCACATATAGCAGAACCAGTGTCAGAATCCAAGTCTTCTGAGTTTTAGATGTGATGTTCTTTCAATTGCACCACATTATGTTCTTTTTAGTATTCATATGGCATTTCTCACTATCATTCATCAAGCATTTGTTAAGTACTTATTATGTGCCAGACAGTGCTGGGTCCCTGGATTATAAGACAAAAATGAAGCATTCCCTGCCTCAGTAAACTTACGTTTTATTAAGAGACAACACATGTATGTATAAACATATGCAATATATAAAAATATTAAAATGTAAATATAAAATTGTTGGGCAGGATGGGCACACTAGCAGCTAGAGGAATCCGGAGATGCCTCATGTAGGAAGTGGTGTTTGAGCTGAGATATGAAGGAAGCAAGGAATTTCAAGAGGCTGTTGTCCAAAAGACACAGCAGAAATTCTTTACCTGCATAGGACTGACCTTCATAGTAACTGAAATGCAGTTAGTGCTTTAAACTTTGCAAACTGACTGACATATCTTGTCTCACTTGAGCCACACAACCAATGAAATTGGTGCAACTCAAATCATACCCCTATTTTGTAGAGGAGAAAAGTTAAGTGATTTGCCACTGGTCACACAACACACTCTAATCTGGCCATTGTCAATTGTGGTTAAGTGACTTGCCCGGGGTCACACAGCTACTAAGTGTCAGGTGTCTGATCTGAAGCCACATTTGAATTCAGGTCCTCCTGACTCCAGGGCGCGTGCTCTATCCACTGCGCCACCTACCTGCTCCACCATGGTCTTCCACTTTGTTCCTCACACAGAGTCTTCTGACTCCTTGCCTTGCACTGGCTGAAATGTACTTCCTCTTCCCCTTTGACTCAGAACATACATTAGTTACCTCAAGATGCAGTTAATTCAAGCATTCTTTTCACAGACTCTTTCTTGATCTCACCTAGTGCTATCGCCCTTCTTTCCTAACTTATTTTAATGCTATTTATTCCAAATATCCTTTCATGTGTATGTATTACCAGCCCTAGTAGGATGCAAGCTCCCTGTGACCAGAGGCTGTTTTTTTTAAACTTCTTTTTTGCTTTGTATTTTCAGCAACTAATAAAGTATCTGGCATACAGTAAGATAAAAAGATTTTTATTAAATGCTTCCTTTGTACTAGGAACAGTGCTAAATACAGGGAATACAAATACAAGCAAAAGAAAGACAATCCTTACCCTCAAGGTGCTTACATTCTAATCGGGTAATGGAGAGACAACACATAAATGGGAGATGAAAAGCAGGGCAAGAGGGAGGCTACTTAGGTTGAGAATTTGTCCAGGGAGCCATGGGGTTATCTAATTCATAATGGGATGGATGCTATGGGTACTTCCTCAAGTGGAAGTTCCACAGACAAATGGTCATCAGAGGAAGAGATTCTAGAGGCAGAGGTGTTGCTATCCTGAAAATGATGCAGGGTTTGTAGTCAAGAAGTAATCTAGGGAGAGATGGCCTGAGCTTTCTCAATGGTTGATTGATAGTAAATATCCAAGATAGGAATTGAATCTATTTTCCTGGTTACATCCACTACACTGTTGCCTCTTCATCAGTATCAAAAGGCATTTTTCTTTATTTTCTTATAACTTAAACTTTCTCTGAAATTCCCAACCAAGCAGGTTTTTATATCAATGTTTTACCTAGAAATGTCAATTGAGGGGCAGCTAGGTGGTGCAGTGGATAGAGCACCGGCCCTGGATTCAGGAGGATCTGATTTCAAATCCGGCCTCAGACACATAACACTTACTAGCTGTGTGACCCTGGGCAAGTCACTTGACCCCATTGCCTAGCCAAAAAAATCAATCAATCAATCAATCAATCAATCAATAAATGAATGAATGAATAGATAAATAAATAAATAAATGAATAAATGAATAAATAGATGGATAAATAAATAGATAGATAGATAGATAAATAAATAAAAATGTCAATTGAGCAATAGTCGTATGAGACAATGTTATGTAGCAGCACATAGTTTCATGTCAAGTTTTGTGTTCACATAAGTTTCAGCATGAACAATCTGAGCATGTTAAAGTAGTGTGAAATCCTACCTAGACCAAAAAAAAATTCTTTACACTCTCATATATTAGCTGGTCTGTGTTGAATTAATCTTTAAGACAGCATAAGTAAAGACTAATTATCCAGCCTTCAGTGTCTTGTCAGACTTCTGTAATAGAGGGTGGGGAAGATATTTTAATGCTGTTTTAAAAAGGGTCTAGTCTATCCAATAATAATTGCTAGCATTTTCATGAGACTTTGCTTAAATGATCACATTTTATCCTTATGATAAACTCTATTTTACATTTTAGAGATGAAGGAATTAAGTCTCCCAAGTAGGAAGTGTGATGGACAATGGGAAAGAGTGATGGATTTGGTTCAAGTCATTGGTCTTCTATTTACTATCATTGTGACTTTAGGCAATTCAATTCATCTCTCTAGGCTTTAGTTCTGTCATTTATTTTAAAAAACGATGTGCTGGACTAAATGTCCTCTAAAGTCCAATCCAGCTCTAACATCACACAGCTAGAAAGTAGAAGAGCAGACTCGAATCTGACCCTAACACTAGTATTCCCCACCCCCATATCATGCTATTTTCTTAGTATTCAATTTATGTGACTCCAAGGGAATATTTGGCTTACTCATATTGGCACACTGTCATTGAGTCTATGCTTGGCAAAGAACCACCATGACATAGTAGAAGATATCAGTTTTGACCTCATAATGTCTGCATCCAAGTCATGGGACTGGCATTCAATAACCATGCGACCTTGAGTACAAATCACTTAACCACTACAGATGTCAGTTTCTTCATTTATAGATTAAAGATATTTTCATTGTCTACTTTATGGTGTCTCATGAATACGTAACCTTTTCTACATAACGTGTGCTAAGTGTGTGTGTATGCCTGTGTTTACATTAATGTAGGGAACTCTCAGTGTTGAAATTCTATTTACCAATGCAATCAAGTCAACAGCCACTAATTTAGCTCTTACTACTGTGTGCCAGGGACTGTGCTAAATGCAGGAAGGGGGAAAAAACCTACAGTCTTAGACATTAAGGAGCTTACATTCTATTGAGGAAGACCATTTAAAAATAAATATGTAGATATAAGATACAGAGTAAATAGAAGGTACTCTGAGAGGGGAAGGCATTAGCATCTGAGATAGGGACAGCAACCAGGAAAGGCCTCCTGGAGTAGGTAAGATTCAAACTGAATCTTGAAGGAAGCCAGGCAAATACATAAACTAAAGAGAAGGGGAAGAGTTTTACAGGCATTCCAAGCAGCCAATGTAAAAGCACTGTGACAGGAGGTGGAGGGTTGTATTCAAGGAATAACAAATCGGGCACTTTAGCTGTATCATAGAGTCTGTGGAGAGAAGTGTAAGGAGACTAGAAAGGTCCAAAGGGAACAGATTGTGAAGAGCTTTAAGTTCCAAAGAGAGGACTTTATATTGATTCTAGAAGAGAACAGGGAGTCAGTGGAGTTTATTTAATAGAGTCAAGATATGGGCAGACAAATCAACTTGGAAACTGAAAGGAGGTCAGATTGAAGAAGGCAAAGACTTGAAGTAGACTGATCCATTAGGAAATTATTGCAGTAGATCAAAGGAGAGGTGATAAGGATGTGAATTAGGATATACACTGCAGGAGTAGAGACAAGTACAAAAATATGAGAAACATGGTAAAGGCAGAAACAACAAAAGTTGCTGATTAGATATGGGTGGTTAGTTCAAATGAGGAGTGTTGAAAGCTTGGATAACTAGAAGGATAGTGGTAACATCAACAGTTTTTATTAAAGAAATGTTTGGAAAGGGGGAGGATTTGGAGGAAAATATTATAATTTATGTTTTAGACGTACAGAAGTTGAAATGTAAAGATAAAAGATATCTAGTTTGAGATTGCCAAAAGGCAGTTGATAATGTAGAACTTTAATTCAGGAGGGAGACTCGGGTTGGATGTATGGAATCACTCTTTACTGTGTCAGGACCTCTGCTAAGCAGGAGTGGTTCTGGTGAATAGCATCTATATGTGAAGCAATTTAAATTCTTTAGGTAAAGAGAATTACTAAATGGAGAGATAACAAGAAGTACCAAATGCTATTTCCTATAATTATTGGTGTAAATTATGTTTTCCTTCTCAAAGGCATCTTTTGTGTATAAAATGGTGGAACCAAAGCTAATGAATTTCTATTAAATGAAAAGCCCGCTTTTTCATTCTTAAATTCATTCTTAAATTTAGTTGGCATGTAACTACCAACTCTTTAATATATCTCTTAATAAATCTCTTTATTATAAACTCCTGAGAATACTTAATCATTGGTTGTAGTGAAGTGCATTCAATATTGCTTAACATAAATAGGACATGAGTTGAAATTTGGAAATTTTTTGCCAACACAGATTTATTGTTGCAACAAAACTGACTTTTATGGATTCCCATCACAACTATGAGCCATGTGTGTTTGCACTAGTCTGTGAGTGTGTGTGTGTGTGTATGAGAGAGGGAGAGAGGGGGAGAGAGAGGGAGAGAGGGGGAGAGAGAGAGAGAGAGAGAGATGCTAATCTGAAATAACAAATGGAAAGGACTCATAAATGGAGCATTCTAATGTAAGCGGTACACTTCAAAATCTGCACTGTATATAAATATCAGTTAAAATACCATTTCAACAAAAATTACAGTATTGCACAGATTTTGCAATGTGTTTATT